CCCACAGCCATGCTCTGACCCCTCCTCCCGTGGCTGCCCCTGCCCCCAGCAGGACATTGGCCTCCCAGCCTGGCACATGGGGCCTGCTGTCACCTGCTATCTGGTCCCTCCTGTTGCCATTTCCAGCTGCCCCTGAATGCTTGCTCTTCCCAACTCAATCCTCTGCAGCCCCCACATGGGGGACATTGTCCTGCCCTTGGTGCTCCTCCTCCTCCTCTGCCCAGACCAATGAGCACTCCACCCACTGGGGCAGGATCCCTGGGCCACCTGCTCCCCTCTGGGAGAGACAGACACTCCCTGTACCTGCCCCAGGGCCCAGACAGGGAGCTCCTCACGTCAGCCTGGAGTCGTCGAAACAGAACCCATGCCAGTCTCCTCTGCTGCTTTCATCTCAAGCTGTTTTCAGTCCAGCTTGGGAGCCTGTGCTGCTCCCCCCACAAAGCCCCACGTGGAGCAGCAGGGCTTGCCCTTTCCTCTTGGTGAGCATGAGGAGCCATCGGCTTCCACCTTCAAAGCAGATCTGGGATGGGGTCCCTCCTCCTTCTGTGCAGTGACCACCACACTCCCGCAGGCTGGGAGCCCCTGAGAAGGGGTTTAGCCCAGCCTCCAACACAGAGCCCCTCATGGCCTTCCCTGCCCCTAGCAGCACCTGTACATGCTGCTGCCTCTGCCAGGACCCCTGTTCCCACTGTGTGGCTTCAACATGGAGAGCACCTACTCCCCCAAAATGTATCCTCCCAAATCATCTGCATGGTGACTCTATGAAGGCGAACAACAGCCTCACAGAAGCAAGGCTCAGAGAGGGTCAGTAGCTCGCTCCAGACCACACAGCTTTTGAGGGACATAACTAGGGGTCTGGCTACACACTCCACACCTCTGCCCCAGCCTGCACTAAAGCTCCTCCTCGGTGAAGCCCTCCTTGTCTCTGTCTCCCCTGAGGCTTGGTTACATGGCCCCTGTGCAGTAAGAGGAATGTGTCATCTGCCTGGCCTGTCCACTGCCTGACCTTTCACAGGACAGTGAGCTCCATGGGTCTGAGTCAAGACCTGCCTCATTCACTCCTCTCCCCACATACAGCAAGCCTGCCACAGTCCTGGGTCCCACTAAGGAGTGACAGTTCTGAATGGGATGCAAAAGAAACCTGGAGGTGGGGTGAGGTGGGGTCTGGCTGGGCTGGAGATGGGGCAGCAGAATTCAGGGAGCCCACGAAGCAGGCAGAGGACAGGTCAGCCCTTCCACTGTATGCAGCTGGACAACTTGGTTACATGGTGTCCTCTGCTCCCTGTCCTCAAATAGGTCCACCTCTGGGTCCCTCCCCTGGCCGTGTAGCTCTGTACTTCCTGTTTGCAGTCTACAGCAAGCTCCCCTCCTGCCTCACCAGCCCATGCAGGCATCAGAGGACAGAGCAAAACAGACCTTAGCCCTGGGCCCCTGGAGAGATGCAGGGCAGGGCAGTGCACAGTGACAGTCAGGGAGCCACAGAAAGCTGCACCATGGCAGAAGTGTGGCAGCTGAGGTGGGGTGAGGCGTGGTAATGCCCACCCCAGTGGCACCAACACGTCCTCACATGGCCTCCAATGCTCACAGCCTGGGCTCCATCCCTGGAGCCAAGATGAGGCTCCGAGGTTCTGCCCAGTGCCCTCTGGGAAGGGGGCTTGGCTGGTGGTCACACCTCGTCCCATGGGTGATAGTTCACCCCTCAAGGAGCAATAGTCCTGTGGACACTACTCTGGGTCATTTTGCTGTTGCAGAGGGGGCAAACTTTGGAACCCCCAGACTGTGCTCAAATCCCAGCTCAGCCACGCACTGGCCGTGTGATTCTCAGCAAGTCACTCCAAATTTGAGACTGCCTCTCCATCTGGGAGGTGGGTAAAAACGACGCAAAGGAGCATCTATTGTATCGGAGGTGGGCAAGGTTCCAGTTTGGTGGGAAGTTTCAAATGCCTCACTGGATGCAGGGAAAGCATGAGGATGGCCAGACAGCAGGGTGGCAGGCATGGCCACTCACCTCTGTGGCTGAGCTTGTCAGCTCCTCTGTATCCACACCCCCTCCATGTGAATCTGTGCTTTCACTCAGGAGAGGCTGTGTTAGAGTAAAAACAGCCTTGGAATTCACCATATCTATGATTTCCCCCCTTCCCCATGCTTGCTCCAGCCACCAAGAGGTGGCATCTGCTTCCCCTCCCCTGGATCCTCTGGCACTGTGACTGAAAAGAGATGCAGCAGAGCTGATGAAATCCAAGTTCCCAGCCTGGGTGGGAGAGGCTGTGTGCTCCTGTCTGCTGCACTCTTGTATCGTCATGAGACGGACACACCTGGCCAGCCCACTGGTCCCAGGAGGATGAGAGGCACATGGAGCAGAGCCAGCTGAGTACAGCTGAGCCCAGCCAAGCCCCCGACTCAGGAGGAAGCACACCCCCCCACATTTGGGGGTGGCTTGTTACACAGCAGCAGCTAACTGGCTGTGGAGCAGGAGATGCCAGGCTAAGCAGGGACAGTGGGATGCTGGGCAACCTCATCATCAGGCACATAGGCTCAGTCCTTGGGACCTGGGCCCTGGGGCCTGGCCTTATGGAAACAACATTATCACAGGAAAGTCGCTACAAAGGAAAGGAACCCATCAGCCCCTGAGAAGAGCAGGTCTGCTGTCTCTCCTGCACTGGCTGAGAGCAGGGCAAATGCCATCACTAGTGTTTATGCATCCACACGGCATCCCCTCCCATCCTTTCCGATGGCACAGAGCAGGGCAGGTGCACCAAGAGGTGTTTGCTGGGAGGATTAATTAGACCCTCTCCAATGCCTGACACTTAGCAGATGCCCAGCTCAACAGGAAACTTCTTCCCATGTCTGAAGTGGCCATCTCCAGCCATAAGTTTTTTCATTTTCTTTATTTATGTTTTATTCTTTTTAATTTTTATTTTTTTGAGACAGTCTTACTCTGTCCTCAGGCTGGAGTACAGTGGCATGATCTCGGCTCACTGCAACCTCCACCTCTTAAGTTCAAACAATTTTCCTGCCTTAGCCTCCCAAGTAGCTGGAACTACAGGTGCGCACCATCATGTCTGGCTAACTTTTGTATTTTTGGTACAGGTGGGGTCTTCCCTTGTTGATCAGGCTGATCTTGGATTCCTGACCTCAAGTGATTGGCCCACCTCGGCCTCCTGAAGTGCTGGGATTACAGGTGTGAGCCACTGTGCCAGGTCTTTTCTTTTTACAATATGTTTTTCCTCTGGCAATGTCTAATGAACCACATAAACTTTTTTAGTAATACCTTTGCCTTCTCATTCTTAGGAAGCCTCCCCTCCCTTGCCTCTAAATGAAATCTGATGGATTCACAGCCAGAGTCCACCAGATGCACAAAGAAGAGCTGGTACCAATTCTACTGAAACTATTCCAATAAATCAAGGAGTAGGGACTCCTCTTTAACTCATTCTGCAAAGCCAGCTTCACTCTGGTACCAAAACCTGGCAAAGACACAACAAAAAAGAAAACTACAGGATGACATCCCTGAGGAACATACATGCAAGATGGATTCAAGATTTAAATGAAGACCCTAAACTATGGGAGTCCTCGAGAAATCCTAGAAAACGCCATTCTGGATATTGATCCTGGGAAAGAATTTATGACTAAGTCCTCAAGGGCAACTGCAACAAAAACAACAATTGACAAGTGGGACCTAATTAAACTAAAGAGCTTCTGCACCACAACACAAACTATCAATGGTGTAAACAGGCAACCTACAGAATGAGAGAAAATACGTACCCAGTGAAGGTCTAATATCCTTAATATATGAGGAAGTTAATTCAAAAGGCAAAAACCAAATAACCATATTAAAAAGCGGGTAGAAGACATGAACAGACACTTTTCAAAATAAGACATGCAAGCAGCCAACAAACGTGAGAAAATGCTCAACATCACTGATCATCAGAGAAACGCAAATCAAAACCACACTGAGGGGCCATTTCATACCAGTAAGAATGGCTATTGCTGGTGAGGCTACAGAGAAAAGAGAAGGCTTATACACTGTTGGTTGAATGTAAATTAGTTCATCCACTGTAGAAAGCAGTTTGGAGATTCCCCAGAGAATTTAAAACAGAGTTACCATTCAGCACAGCAATCCCATTACTGGGTATGTATCCCAAGGGGAAAAAAACAAAAAAAACACACACGCATGTTGATCACAGCACTAATCACAATAGCAAAGACATGGAATCAACCTAGGTGCCCATCAATGGTGGAATGGATAAAGAAAATGTGGTACATATACACCATGGAATACTATATAGCCATACAAAGAAAAAATCATGTTCTTTGCAGCAACATGGATGCAGCTGGAGGCCATTATCCAAAGTGAACAGAAAATACCAAACGTTCTCACTTTTCTCACTTATAAGTGGAATGCTAAGCATTGCATGCAGATGGACATCAAGATAGGGACAACAGACACCATGGCCTACTAGAGGGGGAAGGAAGAGGGGGACAAGGGCCGAAAAACTATCGGGTACTATGTCCACTACCTGGGTGACAAGACCATTTGTACCCCAGACTTCATCAAGCAACATACCCATGTAACAAGCCTACACGTGCACTCCCAGATCTAAAATAAAAGTTGAAATTATAAACAAAATAAGAATAGAAATAAATGGAGCCTGCAGCATGGGCAGAGGGCAGGCAGTGGCTATTACTCAGGTGCTCACACAGGTGGGTCTGCTGCTTACCTGTGCCTGTGCTTTGAGAACTCACACAGCCTCAGCATCCTCCAGTACAAGGCTCTTCCTCACATGTCAGGTCCTTTCTCCTGCTTTCTTCTTGCCCACAGACTTCTGGAAACATTGCCTACATTTGTTTTTTTTATCCTAGGATGACATCCCTGGCTTCTGGCCATTTGCTTGGACTCTGGGCTTCATGCCTTGTGGACTCTCTGTTCTAGGCCTGGCATCAGGCTTGCCATTCTTTCTGACCCTGTGTTTCTCTATGCAGGTTTGCCTCAGATAGCTTACCTGGACTTGCTTCTGAGCCTCTGTGCTCTGATCCTTGGTCTGAATTGTTTTCAACTTCTCCATTACGCTGTCTCCTGAGCTCTGGTGGGAGGTTCACTGGGCTCCTGAGCTTGTTCTCACAGAAGAATGCACATTGCTTAGGGTGCTGTCCGCAGATGGAAGCACAGCTGACACAGCGCCTCAGGAGATGGTCATAGAACCTGCCTTGTTCCTTGCGGCAGCTGAGTAACCCTGGGAGACAGAAATGTGTGATACTCCTGGGTAACACAGATGAGCAGGAGCTCTAGGTTTGGCTACAAAGAACATCAAAGTTAAAAAAAATCATGGTAAAATTCCAGAAAGCAATCCAAGAGTAAGCCAGGTACTTTTACAATATACAAATTGAAGACTATGCATTGTCCTCTAAGTACTATTTTAGCTGCATTGCATTTTGATGTGTGGTATTTTTCCTCTATCTCGTTCAAAATGTACTTATTTTTCATTTTTATTTCTTCCTTGACCTATGGATTATTTACAAGTGCATTTCTTAGTTTCCAAACATACGAAGAATTTCAGTTATTATTTAAATTTGAGGTCTAGATTACATTGTTACATAAGACCGTTACTTGCATTTTTCAAGCCTTATCAGGGAGAAATATATTTCAAACTAGCATAAGGAATGAAAAGGAAAAACCAGAATCCTCTTTGGCAAGTTGGAGGAGGGAGCTGGAAGGAAAGTAGAAAAGTTCATATGAATAATATTTCTTCTCTCTGAAGACTAAATAAGAATTAGAGCAGCTTACACAGGTGTCAGTGCCAAGGAACAGAAGCCAAGGAAACTAAAGCCCAATCACACCTGCCTTAAGAGAGCACAGTGGACCCAACTTTGAAAGTGTAAAGAAATCTGTTTGGAACAATCAATTATCTAAAGGCTCAGAATATTTCTTTTTAAATATTTTTTTTGAAAGGGAGTTTCACTCTTGTCACCCAGGCTGGAGTGCAATGGTGTGATCTCGGCTCACTGCAACCTCTGCCTCCCAGGTTCAAGCAATTCCCCTGCCTCAGCCTCCTGAATAGCTGGGATTACAGGTGCCCACCATGAGATGCAGCTAATTTTTGTATTTTTAGTAGAGGTGGGGTTTTGTCATGTTGGCCAGGGTGGTCACAAACTTCTGACCTCAGGTGATCCATCTGCCGTGGCCACCTGAAGTGCTGGGATTACAGGTGTGACTACTGTGCCCAGCCTAGCCTCAGAATATTTCTACATGAAAGTTTTTACATGAAAAAGGCAAGTTTTCTTTGTCTTTAGAATAAGGTGTTTATGTGAAAACGTGGCTCACACAGATATGTGAAGGACACATTTCAGAGGTAGTGCAGGATGGTGGATAAGAACCCAAATTTCAGAACCATATTTCCATTGGAGCCATTCCAGCTGTACCACTTGCAGACAGCGTGGTCTTAGCCTTTCCATGACTCTGTTTCCTCATGTCCAGTATAGGGAAAATAACTGCACTGACTTCTTCTTAGGGTTGTTGGCAGAGTTGTAGTGCCTGGCACATACTAAATGCTCACTTAATGGAAGGCTTGAGTAGAATATTCATTTGAGCCTCTTCGCAAAGCCAATACACACCCCTCCTTGTGCCTTTGACAGAGTAAAGGAAGGACCTAAAAGATCATGGAATTGGAGACTTAGGGAAAACTCAGATGGCCCACATGGGGCCAGTGATCTCCCCTGCTCTGGCCCTCCCCTATCCCCAGGGCTCCACTGAACAGCACAGAAACTGACACCTCCACTCTGTGTCACACAGGGTTGGCCCACCAGTGGTGTCCTTGGGGCTTTCTGTGACCTCCTCCCCTGTTGGAGGTGGCACTTTTGCAGGTGGTGCCTGAGTGCTCCAGACCAGGCCCCTCCTGCCTGACCTCATACCCTGCCCAGCCCCCACCCAGGACTCGGTCCTCCGCACTGCATTTCCCACCTCTGCACCTCCGCTCATGCTGCCCTTTCTTCTAGGCACCCTCCCCACATCTGATTTCTGCATTCTGTGGCCTCTTAACAATCTGCCTCTGATGATGCTTCCTCCCTGCTCCCCTGCCCATCAGCTGAAGGTGGCCTCTCCCAACTGTGTCCTTCTACCATGACACATAGTCATTTCTCCCATTAGGTGACACTGTCCCTGAAGGGCCATGCCAGATTCCTGTTTCTGTTGGGCTGGAGCACGCCATCTGTTTGTGAAATGAACCAATGAATGTTCTAATTTATTAATGGATGGTGGTTCAGGCCATGATTTAAGAGTCAGAGTCCTGGGTTCAAACCGGGATGCCACTGTGACATCTCCACTTTTCCACTGTGTGATCTTGGGTAAGTTGCTCAGCCTCTCTGAGTTCCTGTCAACAAGTATTCATGAAGGACTTACTATGTGTCAGGCACTCACCAGTTTTCAATGTCTCAAACATGCCACATTCTTTCCTGCCTCAGGTGCTTTGCACATGCTATTCTCACTGCTTGGAATGCATTCCCTCTATAATCTTCGCTCGGCTCCCTCCTATCTAATCTTCAGATCTCAGCCCAAATGTCAGGGGTCTCCTCTGACCATCCAGTAGAACTAGGCCCTCCCTTCTCACTGTCTGTTGTTTCTTTCTTTTGAAATTTTTATTACAGAACTTATCACACATGTACGTAAAGAGGACAGCACAATGATGCCCTCTGCACCAATCATCAGCTTCACAAATTGTTTAAATTCTGCCTTATACTTTTCTAAACATTTTTGGGGGGGCTTGTATATTTTAAAGCACAGCCAAGATCTCATATAATTTTTTTTGAGACAGAGTTTCACTCTTGTTGCACAAGCTGGAGTGCAGTGGTGCTATCTCGGCTCACCGCAACCTCCACCTCCCCGGTTCAAGCGATTCTCCTACCTCAGCCTCCCGAGTAGCTGGGACTAGAGGTTTGTGCCACTGCACTTGGCTAATTTTGTATTTTTAGTAGAGACAGGGTTTCTCCATGTTGGTCAGGCTGATCTGGAACTCCCAACCTTGGGTGATTGTGTGAACCTCAGGAGGTTGTGTGACCAGAGCAGAAAGGTAGAGAGGTAAGAGATGCCACACTGTACACCTTCTCCTATCACCCATTCCTCAGCCGCCTGACTGTGGGGCCAGAGGGTGCTCTGCAGGGAAAGGACGGGGGTGAGCCCACTGTCTCCTGGGCTCAGGCCCCAGAAGTCACTGCAGAAGGCTGCACAGGTGTGCTGGCTCTGACAGTTGAAAATGGCTTTGCAGGAAATGCAGGTGCTCAGCAGGGGATCCCAGTACTGCTCTTCAGGGCAGGATCCCATAGCCAGCCCTGTCCACAGGTCCTGTGGAGCTGAGAGACCAACAGTGTGAGCACAGCTGGTAGGCGGCCACAGCCTGGCCTCTTGCTCCTGATGAAAACCCAGACAACCTCTCCCGCTCACAATCCCACAGACATCCTTTCTGTCTCAGGAGCAGAGAAGGCAGGCAAAGCTGGCTTCCAACCACCACTGAACTTACTGGGGGCCTGGGGCAGCCACCTCCACTCTCCAGCCTCAGTTTCCTCATCTGCACAAGTTGTTTTCAGGCCCCCTGCTCTCTCACATTAGCAGTGCCCTGCTGGGCCTCGTTCCCTGCCCTCCTTAACATGCCATGCCTCTCCCTGGCTCAGTCTTTGCACACGTTGTTCCCTTGTGTGATGTGCCCTTCTCCCCAGCACTCCCCCTCACCTGCTTATTCCTCCTCAGCCTGAGACCTCTGTCTAAACCTGATCTCTCAGGGAAGCATTTCTGACTCACCCCCTAGACTAGGACACAGTCCTTCTACACACTCGCACTGCCCTTCACTCGTCATTGTGGTCAAGGAAACTTCCATGCATGTGGTTATTTGACACTGGCTCCAAAACTAACTGTGAGTGCCATCTGGCAGGGACTGTGCCTAATTTTTTTTTTGTTCATTGTTGAGTCCTCAGAACCTAGAAAGTACTTAGGCATAGTAGGTGCTCATGAAATGAATGAATTTTTAAGAGCAGACCAAGTCAGGGTCTAGCACACAGCAAGAAACAAGACAAGTCAATTTCCTTCTGATTTTCTCTTCTTTTCTTTCTTTCTTTCTTTTTTTTTTTTTTTACTGAAGTATAAAACAGCCACAACGATGTGTGTAAGGTGCACAAAAAGCTGAAGAATACAGCTTGGTGGAATTTAATGTATGTATGCATCTGTGTCATTAAAGCCCACAATGAGATGCAGAACGTTTCCTGCTCCCCTGAAGACTCCCTGGGGTTTCCTCCCACCTGGTGCTTACTCCTAGGGGTGGCTACTGTTCTGTTGTAACCCCCATAGGTTAATATTGCCCCTTCTGGAACTTCCATGTCTGGTTTTGTCTCTCCACATGGGGCCTGACACTCATCCATGTGGGTGTTCTCTGTGTGTCTGGTTTTGTGTTACTGTAAGTCTTCCACTATGTCCATGCATTAATTCTGTTTTTCTGATTTCATGACCTTTGCTTTCACCAATAACTTCTCCTTAAAAATGTTTAAAAGCATTTTGCAAAGCATGTGTTTATTCTTTAATGAAAGCAAGCTGAGGGAAGACCAGAGGTGGCTGGGCACCATGGCCCATGCCTGTAATCCCAGCACTTTGGAAGGTTGAGGTGGGAAGATTCCTTGAGGCCAGGAGTTCAAAACCAGCCTGAGAAACATAGTGAGCCCCTGTCTCTACAAAAAGATTAAAAAATTAGCTAGGTGCTGCAGTCCCAGCTATTCAGGAGGCTGAGACAGGGATATGACTTGAACCTGGGAGTTCAAGGCTGAGATGAGCCATGATCACATCACTGCATTCCAGCCTGGATAACAGAGTGAGATCCACTCTAAAAAAGAAAAAGAAAAAAGATCAGGGGCCCCCCACTTAACACGGCAGCTTAAACACAGGGGTTTATCTTCCTTCCCTCCCAAAACCATGCTAAGTTGACAGTCAAGTGCAATTGTCTTCAGAGATCAAGGGAATGGCAGAGGTTTCTACAGCAAGGAACGCATGTCTCTAGCATTCTGGGAGTTGGAAGGACTGGAGTGCCTGACTGCCTTTGAGGATTTTATCATCGATGCCTACAGGGGAAGGAAGTTTCTCTGAGTCACAGAACTCAAGGCAGTCTCCAGAATTGGAGGCACCAAGTCTCTCTGACAGCAGGGGCTGGGTGGGAGGTGGGAAGCTCTGAAAGAGGATTGGCTGGAAACTTACATTACATAAAGAGGGTGTGACCCCAGCACATTCCCATTCCAAGGCTGAGGCCAGCCCCTCACCTACCCAGGCATGACTGGGGTCTTCTTGGACACAGCTGAGGGTAGAAACATGGTCTTTCCTGGCAACGGGGAAATCGTGAGAATCTTCTTCCTGGACACTCAGTCTCTCCTCTCTTTATCCACCCCAGTTTCTATCTAAAGAGTGCAGCAACCAGGTTTTTAAAGATGCCTCCTTCCCTACCCTGCAACTGGCAGGAAATCAGAAGTCTCTGCTCTGGGAAAACAGACCCAAAGGAAAAGAGCCAGAGGCACTGACGGTGGGAGATTCTCTCAGGAAAATATCGAAGTCCCTGCCTGATCCCACTGGAGCAAAGCTTCTACATCAAACAGCCCATTTTATGGGCTCCAGGCAGCGGTGAGTACCTTTCTGACTTCTGAACTAACAGCCAAAGGTCACCTGATATGGGAGCACCGCCTCTAGCACGAAAGTAAACTCAAACCAAACAGAAGACAAACACCTGGAGCCTAGGAAGACATGCAGGAAACCGAAGAACATTTTACAATAGCAGCAGCAGCAGCAGCAGCTGAGATCCCCAGAAATATGAGAGGACTGTGTATCTATGGAACAAAACGGTGGACTATTTGTAAAGGACATTCATAGGACAAATGAGAATTGTTAGAATTATAATTTATAGCCAGAATAAAAACATTTAGTAGAAGGGCTGGAAGATGTAATCAAATAAATTATCTGGAAAATAGGAGACAAGATATACAATTATGGAATCATTTCAGGAGCTCCAAAGGCTGACTAATGATTTGAGGGACACTGGCTCCAGATTGGAAGAGCCAATCAAGCATCAGTGCAGTATGGTCACACAAACTAGGATACATTATCATGCAATGTAGGAGCACTAGCGATTCTGAGCTGATTTCAAAACCTTCCTGATAACAAGCAGGTTACCCATAAAACTGTCAGTTGTGAAGTCAGAACACCTCGAAAGCAATCCTGGGATGTGAGGAGTGACATGGAGGAAAGCAGTGGAGTAGCAGGCTCTGGGAATCTGTGCCTCCTGCTCAACAGCTATGGAGCCAGCAGCCACTGCAAGAAGTCACTATTTGTGAGCTCTGGAGTTGTCAAGAGGAGAGCTTGATGGTAAATTTTAGGAATTTCAGCCTATGACATGGCAGTGGCTACTATTCCACAGCAGTGCCACTGGCTGGAGCCAGGATGAGTAAGAAGGACCCTTGTCCTCCAAATCCTGGGGCTGTGGGTTCTGATTGCTGATGGCTTCCTGTGACCACTGAGGAGTCAGCATGAGGACATTGTTTCAACCCCCAAGGGCTCAAGTGGCTTCCAGGGGATTTAAAGAGACAGTATCCTTCTCTGGCCTGGGAGCCAAGCACTTAAGGAAGTCCTTTTCAGGTCACTGGTTGACTGCAGAGATAAAGAACAGAAACATCAGTGACTACATGCAACAAGGAATATATGCTGTGCAAAAAAATTAAAGTTGGGAAAAGAAGAAAGCTTAAAACTAAAACTTTGGAAAAGTCACAAACAGATGGCTTCTGCCCTTAACAGGCAAGGTTCAGCAATCCCTAAGGAGTGGTGAGGTTAGATTTCCAGTCACCACAATATAACCCCTGAAAATGTCCAGGTCTCAAAAACATTACAAAGCATACAAAGCAGCAGCAGCTTTGCCACATTTACAGGAAATACAGACTATGATGGAAACAATTTCCAGGAAAGTCTACAGATTGGAATTACTAGTCAAAGGTGTTAAATCAAGATTTAGCTTAAATATGTTAATGAGCTTAAGGAAATCATAGACAAAGAACCATATGAATCATTTCAAGTCCGTAGTTGACATTGGGGTTCACACTCATATTGTACCTGGGTTTGAACAGGAAAATGTTGTATGAACACAATGAGCACATAGTAAAAAGAAAGAAGTGGCAAAAAAGTAACAAAAACTTGGAAGGAACCAAAACGTCCCTCAGTAGGTAAATGTATAAATAAAGTGGGGGGGAGGACTCAAGATGGCGCGGTGAGAACAACCCAGGATTGGAGCTCTCGTTGAATCCGTGGAGAGGTGAGTCGGAGCTGCATTTCCAGACTGATCTTTGTTGCCCACAGAACGGGGAAATTCCCAAGTATAAAGGAGACGCGGGATGCCAGGCAGCACTTCTGCCTGGCAAAGCCAGCAGCTGGGGTGGCGGTGGCCGGCCCTACCGAGCGCTCCCCACAGGGCACGCTTGTTCGGGTGCCCTGTTGAACCGGCAACCTGAGACTTGAGGGGGCTGGACTTGAGACTGAATGAGACTTGGACAGTGGGCCAGTCCAGGGGATTGCAGGGACAGAGCGTCTGGGGTAGCCCAGTGGGACGAACAAAACCGCGATTTCAAACACTCCCCGTGCAGATTGTCCGAGACGCTCTGTGGGGGAGTGGCGTCCAACATTACCGAGGCAACCCATCCCAACAGAGATACACGCCCACTGCTGACGCAGCCTGCCATTGCCGAGGCAACCCACTACAACAGAGAGACTCCACCGCAGGGCGTGGCGGAGACCACAGCAGAACAGCAGAGCCTGCAGCAACAGGGCGAATCACACAACAGCAGGGCGGAGCCTCGGAAGGCAAACAGTGGCTAGTCTACCTCCTAGCTGGGCAGGACACCTCAACGGACATCCAAAAATCAAGCCCGAACCCCCCAAACCAGAGCATTTGAGAAAAAAAGGGGTTTTTTAATGAGCTCTGTTGCAGCAGAATCAAACATAGCAGCCTAACAGCCCTGAATGAACAACAGAGCTCACAGCTCAGCAACGGAGCTCCTATAAAGTACAGGCTGTCCCTCAAGCAGCTTCCTGACCCCTCTATATCCAAAAGACTGATATTTGGCAGGCATCATCCTGGGACAGAGATAGCATAAAAAGAAACTGGTAGCATCCCTCACTGTGCCACAGCTGCTAGAGGTGCACCCCAGACAAGCAGGGCCTGGAGTGGACCTCAGCAGTCATACAGCGAAGGGGCTAGACTGGTAGAAGGAAAACCAAGTAACAGAAATACTTCATCATCAACAATCTGGGTGTCCACTCAGAGACCCAATCGAAAAGTCAGCAATTACACAGACGACAAGCGGATATATCCACAAAGATGGGAAGAAACCAGCGAAAAAAGAAGGAAAACACCCAAAACCAGAACATCTCGCCTCCTAGAAAGGACCAAAACTCCTCACCAGCAAGGGAACAAAGCTGGACGGAGAATGACTGTGACGAAATGACGGAATTAGACTTCAGAAGGTGGATAATGAGAAACTTCTGTGAGCTAAAAGAACATGTATTAAATCAATGCAAAGAAACTAAGAACCTTGAAAAAAGATATGAAAAAAAGATTTGAGGAAATGATAACAAGAATGGATAACTTAGAGAGGAATATGAATGAATTAAAGAAGCTGAAAAACACAATAAAAAAACTTCACAAAGCCTGCACAAGTTTCAATAGCCGAATTGACCAAGCAGAAGAAAGAATATCTGAAGTCGAAGACCAACTCAATGAAATAAAACGAGAAACCAAGATTAGAGAAAAAAGTGCAAAAAGGAATGAACAAAGTCTCCAAG